TACATTTTGCCTCTGGTGAATACTCTCATGGCCCCTGCAGCTCTGGCTTGTATCCCAGTTCTGTATGAGTAAATTAATAAATCTTTTAAAAACAATAAATAAAAATAAAAATAACCCCTTAAAGTATTTTGTCCCACTGTGCATTAGTTCATTTTTCCTGATGAAAAGTAGATGGTCTAGTTGAAGATTCTTTTTGATACCTGATGTTCTGAAATTCCAACTTTTGTTCAAGTGTGGGCTTTTTTTATTTCCTAAAAGGGGGAGTTTTTTAAATGAAAATAATTGACATTTTCAAGTATTTGAGTATTTCCTTCCATTTATTCTCCTGATTTTATACTAAATGAATTTGGAACGTTGGATTTACCCTCCATTTTACTTAAAATTTCATCCATTCCTGTAACATTTCTCCTGCAATTTGGGGTAAAAAAACCCGAAAACAATCTTCCAGCTGATTAATGAATAATTAATAATTAGTTCAGCCTGAGTCAGTGTAACATAGTAACTAGGCCCTGAATTCAAGTTCTGGTTCAATCATGTTTTTCTGTTGCCTTGAGCAAGTTAATTAGTCTTTCTGTTACTCATTTTACTCATCTATAAAATTCATATGCTAATAACATTGCTTACTTTATAATATAAACATTAAATATGTCAATACATAAATAGAGGCATATCAGTAACATATTATTACTTGTTATTCAATCTATTAATTTTTTAATTTCAATATATTCTTAATTAATTACCTAACGGGTTTACTTTCATAATAACCTGGTTGCCTTATGAATATAAAAATCTTGTCTTATGCTTCTTAGGATAAAAAATATGTTTTATAAAATTTGGCTTTATTAACCATAACTTAGTGTTCAATCCAAAGACTACTGATTGAAGTTGGTGCTCTTAATAATAGATTTCTAGAATGGATTGATGATTGTGGGCTGTCTGCTCACCTTAGTGTTTGGATAGCTCTTTGCCTCTCTGTGGTGCTGACTCTGAGTGTTTGCTTTTTTGATTGTGGTAGGAAGGAAAGCAGGAGAGGACATGGTATAAACAGGGGTATGAGTAGTTTACTTTCTGTGTGTGTGTGTGTGTGTGTATGTGGTCCATTTCTCCTGGCAATGCTTGGGGTGATACCTTGTTTCCTTGTCCCAAGGACCAATATACCCATGCACAATGTGTGCCACAACTGATTCTCATAATCTTAATTTATTTGCCTCATATCATTTATTATGATATAAAATAATCTTAATTATTGCTCATTTATTTACAGATATATTATTTGGCTCTCTGCAGGGCCTAGTATGATATGTTTCAAGAGTGAATGAATGATCTGTACATTTGCTGAATGAATAAACAAAATGAATTAATGCCATTCTTTAGTTACTATGCAGTGTCTGTTCCTTTCAGCCATTGTCTCTGAACATGAAGCTGCTTCAGTTCTCACTTGGTTCCATCCATATTTTGGTTGGTGGCTCTACTGGCAGTATAATCCTGACTGCCTTCTATGATCTAGGAAGTCTTCCTCCACAATGTTACCAATTTCCTTGTAGAACTTTAAAGCATTACAACATATATTTTATGTTGTGTCTCTAGACTTATGGTGACAGAAGATATGTATATATTATATTCTTAGAAGTTCCACAGGTCATCTTACCAATCTCCACACTGTGACTTTAGTTGGTGCATCAATTTGACACTAAATAACACTGAATTTAATAAAGAGAACATAACCTTCTTTGAGTTTTTTCTCACTTTTTCCATAAATATTTTAAATATATATTTCAAATATAGAGAAAAATATAGCAAGCTATATAACATATATCTATTGGAAAGCATCCATATTTAACACTACCAGACATTTAACAGTCTATGTTTGATATGTTTTTATTTAAAAGAAAATAGATTAATATCATTGTTTGGAGGATCCTTTATACCTTCCCATTCCTTTTCTCCTTGTGTCTCCTGAAATTGAACTGTATCCTTCCTGCCTCTGTCCATGCTTTTTATAGTTTACTAAATATTTACACAGACATAAACAACACATCATATTGTTTTGCTGACTTTCAAACCACACACAAATGATGTAAGTCACCTCAGTCCTCCTAATTGTACCAAGAGAAAAATCTCACTTGGTCAAATTTTGAAAGCTTTTCTAGTGCTTTTTTTTTTTAATTTTTTTTTTTTTAAAGATTTTTTAAATTTTATTTGTGCATACAGAACTGGGATACAGGCCAGAGGTGTGGAGGGTGAGAGAATTCACCAGAGACAGAGTGGAGTGCAGAACAGGCAGATCAACGAAATACACTGCTGAGGGGAGCAGCGGGCGGGTCAGGAGAGGTCTGCCACGCCATGTGGTCACCTCCGGGGCAGGCGGGAATCGAACTCATGAGAAAGCGGCTTTAGCTTCTCAGTGCTGTGCTTTAAGCCGCTGCGCCACCAGGGAGGGCCATAAATCTTTTCTAGTGCTTTTTAACCCCTCTTTCATTAAGCTAAGAGAAGGGCTTAAGTTTGGGTAGGCAATGGAAGCTTGCTAGAATTTAGTAGCTGTGCTTTATTTTCCACTGTATGTATTTTAATGGTTTCTATTTTTAGCAAGTGTAGCTAGCTTTCTATTTCCATAGTTGATGTTTGAGTTATGTTATCTTAAAGGTAAGAAAAAAACTGTTGGTTAAAAATAATATAAATAATCACCATAAACAGCAAAAAAAAAGCAATTTTTACTTTAATGGAAATTTGATGCAATTTGATACATGTTTGACTTAAAAAAAAATTCCTTAATAGGAATTTGTGAAGCTCCACCTGATGTAACCTTTGCTTTTCTCCTTAGTTCAGTTGCCATTAGTTCACCTCCAGCAACAAACTATTTGGAGAGTCCCTCTTCCCTTACCAGCTGGAGGCTATATAAATCCTTTTATGGTATTTCCTGCATTCAAACCCCTGCTTCCTCCATCTCTCTCCTCATCCTCTCAGGCTCCTAGGAAGGACTTTCCCACTTGGTAGCCATCTCTATATTGAATATACAGTTTACTAATATAATTCTAAATGCAAGGTTAGAATTTAGTGCCTGTATCACAGCATCCTCCTGACCTTAGTGCTTCCTAAATTCCAAAGATTAATCTATGTGTGAAGTTTCTAATAAAATTTGGGGTATAAGATGAATATTTTCCATGAAAAAATGTTTATCTCTTTTTCCATACATTTGGGGTTTTAGTTATTTTTACTTTATTTTTTATTTTTACACCATAACTTCTTTTTACACCATTCTTCATTTTGTGCATTTTTCCAACTCAGTTGTAATCCCCATGGGCCTCTCATCACCAATTCATCAATGTCATTTGGGGTTTTAAAAATAATTCTGTTTATAGACCTCAATATCTAATGTTGAATTATTTTCTTTTAACACTGAGTTAATTAGGATTAGCTTAATTGTGACTAAAAGGTATATGAAGGAAAAAATAAGAAAAGCCATGGGAAATGGTAGTTATTTTTACGTCATTTTCAAAGATTACTTGGCAAACTGCATGATACTTCATGGTGTTGGTTGTTTTTATTTGAAAAAGGTCAAATTGAGCGTTTCAGGTATAACACTTTAAACTTTGGCGTCTGAGTAGCAAAAACTAAACAACTGTTGTGGTTATTGAGATGCTGGAACAATTTTCTAGTTTCATGACACACAATGTATATAAGTACAGTACTAACAATAAAGTCGTCTAGCATCCGCGTTCAGATGATTAACTGCATTGCTTTCATTCATTCATTCAAAAGTCTTATTCTGAAGCTGATCGTCATGATTAAAAAAAAAACCATAGTGTACTTGATCAAAAGTAAATGATCTTAACAAAGGTGCAGATAACGCTTTCAAACCTACTGCTATATTTGGCAAAAACGTTTCGATTTTAGTGTTTCTTCTTAGGTATTCTGCCTGGCCAAGGCCTGAGGAGGGCTGTTTGGTGGGGGAAGGGAGGTGTTGGGGAAGTGACTTCATATTCTTGATAACAGAATAACATGTTTACCACTGCAAACCTTCAAGCTGTAAACGAGAAAGCGGGTTGAGAACACGCCATATAAGACGTATGCTTTCTCTTATCCGCCAGTCAAACTTTCTCCATCAATCTGGATAGGTCAGCCGCGGAAACGTTCATTGAAAGGGAAGTGCAGAGTCCCAAGTTGGCGTGAGCTGTCTTTCCCAGAGTTGTCTTTGAATTTACCTGAAGCTTTCAAGCTATTGCTCCCAGAGAACAAGCTTGTCGTTTCAATTCGGTCGTTTCCGTGGGGAACTGCGGCAAGGGCAGGTCCTGGGTGTGGCGAAGCCGAGAGGGAGCGCCGGTCTCCCAGCTTTCCCGCTCCAGGCTCACCTTCCCAGTCTCTGGCGACCAGTGACCCGCGTCAGAGAAACCACGATTCGGGATCCCGAACGCAAGCCGGTGGCCGCGTTCCGCCGCCAAGGGCTGAAGCTACATGTTCGGCGCACAGTGCAAGTGCGCTTCTCCTCCATTCGTTCCGCGGGTGGAGGCGGATCCCCCTTCTCAGCACACAAGTCCTTATATGCACCGGCTGCAATTACTCCAGCCACACAAATAATTACTGGGGGAGGAAGGCGTTGCTCTACATTTTCCTCTGATGTTTTTCAGCGCTAGAGCGTTTGAATTCTATCAAGAAACCCCCAAATCCGATGAAGGGCCATTTTACTGCAGCATATGAATTAGGCACAAAAATAAAGCTTCCTTGTCCCTACGGTAAGCACGGCAGGGTTCAGGAATAGCTTTTCAGATCCAGTTCTATTAGAACCCCCAAAGCCTGGGCGGAAAGGGTGAGCGCCCCTCCCCCATCCACGTTGGTGCAGAGGGGCCGGGTCAGGAAGCGCGGCCTCTCGCCAGTCGGAGACCACGCCTCCTCTGCCTCGCTCGCCCCCCCTCTTTTACTCCTCCCAGGAAGCGGTGATAGACAGCTCTGTACGGTTCTCCACCCCCACTGCCCCCCCCCCCCGCTACCAGCTGAGTGGAGGAGTTGATGTGTCTCATTATAACAGCCAATGCAGCCGCCATCCACGCACAAGCAAAGAAGCATGTCCCATTTAAATACACCCACGCAGCTCCAGCGCCCTTAGCCGATCAGGGCGCGCAGCCCACTCGCACCGCGGCTCAGGGCTTGGAGATCCGTGCAGGTTGGGCTCCTGGACCCCGCGGACCGAAGCGCAGAGGATCGGGATCCGGTGCTGTGGAGTCGGGGTGGGCGGGGGCGGTTGGGCCTGGGGCCTCTGGCCCGATACCCGCATGAGGACGCGAGTGAAATAGACCAAGGTGGAATTTCCAAGGAAGAAGCTTCGGGCTGGTTTTGTTCCATTACTCCGGCGAAGAAGTAGACATGGCGAGCGACTCCCCAGCTCGCAGCTTGGATGAAATCGATCTCTCAGCTCTGAGGGTGAGCACAACACGCTTTCTGATTTCTTTCCAGTGGTTTGGGTCAGGGTAAAAGGGCTCGGTGCGTGGATTGGGGTCGGGGCAGCGGCTAGAGAATGTGATGTGGAGGGAACCTGTATTCTCATTTTGATTTGGGGCTTGCTGAGGTGCTGTTGGCCAAGCCCCGCGGCGGGGACTGTGCGGTACTTGTCCTCCTTTGGCTGTGGCCGAAGCTTCCCCGAAAGAGCACGGAGCTTATGCCAGTTGCATCTTACCCATTGTGAGAGCATTAAAATGAAAGGGTGTGTGTGTGTGTGTGTGTGTGTG